AAATTAATAAGAACAAAAGGCAAAAAAATAAATACATACATTGTCTTGGATATTAAATGATACACATTTTAGTATAAATATTATTTTTCTATTATTATTATTAAAAAAAAAAAGGCTTTTGCCTTCAAATCTAAACCCTTTTTATAACTTAAACTTAAAATTTGTATTTTAATAATTATGACTAGTATTATTTTAAAATTGCCCAGAAGATCTTTGTTTATTTATAGTTTATATATAATTTTTATATAGATAATTATAATAAATAATTTTTGAAAATTTTTAATTTGATAATTATATTATTATGTATTATGAGAATTAAAATGTATTCTGTTAAATCCAGGTGTATTAGTATAGTATTATAACTATAGTAAATATTACCAGTTTTAAATTTTTTTTAGCATTTTTAAAATTATTGGGAACTTTATTGTTACGACTTCTGTTAGATTGTTAATTAATCAATTTTAAGTTGTAATTAGTTAATAATAGGTTAGTTTGAAAATATTGAAATCAACTTATTGTAAATTCAGGAGTATTGTAGAACTTAAAATTAAATTAAGAAATTATTTAGCTATAATATATAATATAATATATGTTTTTAGTTTGATAAAAGTGTTTTATAAGTATGAATGTTTTTTAATGATTATTAAAAGTTGTTTATTATAATATTTAGTTAAATTGGAAAAAAAAATTAATTGGAAAATATCATTTACAACCAAATTGATCATTCTGTTTATTGTTATCAAAATAATGTACTCACAACTCTTTATTATTTATGCTCATCTACATATGTTTTGCTCTGTGTTTTGCATTATCGATCAGATTTTGTCATCGCGTCAGTGATTTTGTCATCAAGTTAGTCTCGACTTCAAAGCGATCGTATTTAAGTTACTTACACTGTACTTTAATTTATGAATATACCGATGCCTCGAGAATATCAAAATTATTTAATTGGTATTATTATTTTAAATTTTAAAAAATTACAAAAAAGTTCTACAATTATTTGATTTTTAAATAAATTTACGGAAAATATGATATTATATAAATGGCTTAAGTGTGTAGTAAATTGAATAAATAAAATAAAATTTCATAGAACTAAAGCATAACAATTATAAGTATAAAATATAAAATGTTGAATTCCAGAATATTTGTTTAATTTTCAAAGGTTCTTACAGATTATGGTTAATAAGTTAATAAACAGTTTTTAGCATTAGTAACAATTATTAACTAAATAGGAAGTATTTATACAGTAAATATTATTTAAAATATTATTATTTAAAATATTTAAAGCTAATTTGCATTATCAGCTGTCAAAAACTACTTTAAATATGTTCTTAATATATAATTTTGTTTATTTTAATAATATTTCATTAGTCATATTAAGTACATTAAATGTGTCAATAATTATTTTGAAAACCTACTTCTTTATTAAAAAAATTATTTGTAGGAAATGTTCTGGTTTATTTTTGAAATCTAGAAAATTATTTTGTCGATATTCTTATAATATCTACTATATTCATAATTAGATAGAGTGTAGTCCTAATAGTAATTTTTTGTTAATATAATAAAGTTAAAACATATGCAAGTTTTTATAATTAAAAATTTCATTATAATATAATTTATACTGTATACTTATTAATTGCTGTGATATAAAATATATATTGTTGATGATAGGAGTGTCACTATAGTTAATAGCTTAATTGATAAAATAAATTAAGACGAAAATTGTTTGGATTTGAGAATGTTAATATAAAAAGTCATTTAAATTAATTAATTAAGTATAGAGTATTATAATTAAGCTATTTGTTTATAACTAATTCGTAATACTATTTTATATGATTGATACGTCGACGGATATTTGATTCGTTAAAAAAGTATTAAAATTTAATATATTATAAAACTAAAATGATAAATATCAAGATATATAATATTAAGTTCAGATTATATTGAGAAAATATAAATCAAGGTTATTTTTACTTGTGCTACTGTATTTCTAGTTATATCATAACCAAGTAGTGTTCGTTAAAAAAGTGACGTTTGTTTGTAAAATCAATAGTTCTTTTGGCTTGCTGGAAATCTACGACGTAAATACTCGTGTTTGATCGTGGAATCGTATTCGATTACGTCGTCAATTTTCCTTAGGTCATCATTACTTTTACTTGCCCTTGATTGCGGGTAGAGGGTGAAAGTCTTTTTTGTTTAAATTCGTATTAAAAACTAATTTTGAATAGAAAATTGATTGGCGAATTGTCTTACATAAATATTTTATAGGCTTTAGAAGACGCCAAGAATGCGTATGTAATACGATCAATACAATAGTTTTGTAGGCGACTCAATAGCCCGTAGTATTTTCCTCCGCGCACACATGCGAATAATAATGCGACGAGAATGAAAGTGAAATATATATATATACATATGTATATTTGTATATATATATATATTTGTATATATATGTATATTTGTATCGCGTAATATTGTGTAGTGATCTTGTTAAGATTTGCGTTGTCCTACTGACACACTTACCGTGTCTGACATTGGCCCACTTGTCGGACCGACATATAGTTCTTATGCGAGTGTGTTTTTATATAAACGTCTATTTATTTTATATATTATCATCTATGTGTTATTATTCCGGCGTTATCTCATTGCTACCGGCCTCGAAGGTAATGGTGAAGTCATTCCTTGGTTACCGCCTTGCTTACTTTTTTTTTTTAATGACCCACATAAATTACAAATTGATCAAATTAACTCGTAGCCAATTTGTGACTGATCACTAATATTTGTTTTATATCATATTTCCAGCCATTGTGCATTCAACAAACGTTTTTATGATGAAAACAAACATGTTAAACGTAATACCTTCACCTCATATGTAACTAAGTCTGACCTTGTTACTTTCGTGTTAAAGGACGAATCTGTTGTTATATTGCAAAAACGAGTCCATTGATTTTTGCAAAAAGATTATATCTTTCTCCAGACTTCCGAAAGATTCTTTTTGAAGGTTAAAGTCTCAAATAATATCTTTTAATTGCCTTTTTTTTTTTTAAATATTTCACCATTTGCCTTGAATCAAAAATTGAAATTAATTTGAATATTTGAAAATGAATAAATATTTTTTTTTTTTGTTCAAATAAAATCAATTAAATAACTTTCTTATCGTATATATGGGATTATTAATATGATTTTTATCAGTAAGTTTTTTTTTTTATTATAGTTAATTGTTTCAAATCATGTCCATTTTTATTTATAATGTTCTTGTTTAGAAACTTAACTTATAATTTAAATAAGTTTTTATTTATTATTTATTTTATATATTTATTCATTAAGTTATTTTATTTTTAATTCTAAATCAACATCTATTTTAAGTTAAACATCTATTTGGATCGGTAACTATTATATTTTGTGAGAGTTATTTTAAATTATTCGAGTATTATTTTATAATAAAAAAATATAAAATTGATTAAAAGGCGTCTTAGAACTGTAACTAAAAACTATTATAGGTTTTATTTACTCTTATTGCTTTGTATTTGATTTTATCTGGTTTTAAGTTCCTTAATATGTTATGCATTTTCAAATCTTAAATGTATATTGTGTACATTTTATTATTAAATATACATAATATTTTTAACTATTTAATAAATTGATGGATGATTAAGGGTTTAGAAAGAGCTATGGCTATTTATTACTGATTTATTCCCTTCTGACAATATTATAATCAACCAAAATTAAAATTGTCTTACAATTACAACAACAACGATGAAATATAAGAATAAGATTATATTTAAAAAAAGCCAGACATCCGAACGGATAATAAATTACTGATAAGTTCGGGCAAAAAAAGTAGTTGTTCACTCTGAAAACACCTAGAACTATACTAACAGTATATTTTATTCTCTACTGCTTGCATGTTTTAAATTATTATTTATCGATTATGAATGTTATGATTTTTGACCCAAATCGTTGATCTTTGACCCTTATCTTATCATACCCGGGAATTATCTATTTATAAATTAGTTTAATAATGAAATTAGAACAAAAAATTGGCATTTTTAACGTTACTTGGAATACATTCAAAAGACTAGCATGAGTGTTGTGATATCGGAATTTTATGGGCGGGTTTTGTAGCTATTTTATATTACAATAATTAAAGTATAATTTGTGCAATGTAACTGGGTTTGTCGTTAGTAATTACTAAAACTTACATTTTAATCTTTTTTCATTATAATATTTAAAAGAATTTATATCTGTAACGTAGAAAAATATCTTCAATATTTTCTAATAACGTATTAACAATTAGTTTTATTACTGATGATAATATTAGTTTTAAATATATTTAATTTGCTAACTATTATTTGCATTAAATATCATGCATTTAAATTTTAAATTTAACTATGAAAAATAGCAAAATCATTCTAATTCTGCTAAACCGTGGTAATATTGAGTTAAATAATACAAGTTTTTTAAAATTAATTTATATTTGTTTTTTAACTGGTAATCGTTATTTAATGTAAAATTATTTTAATGATAATCATTTGAGCATCCAATTAATATTTTATAGAATTTTAATATCTTATTATGATTACTTTATTGACAGTATTATTTGAAATTTATAACACATGTACAATTTATTTTATTCATCATTACATATGAAATATTTGCTCTTTATTTTTCTGGGATATAAATCAAATATTTTATTTAATTTTAAATTGGATAGTAAACATTTAATTTTTGTATGACAACAAAATGGATTATTTATTGTTTATTAGACATTTATATAAATCTCGAAATGTTGGATTTAATGTTATTTGGTGTTAATTAATAATATCATTGTTTATATTAAATTTGGATATGGTATATATTTTATTCAGTTGTAACTGAATAGTATTGTAATTTTTATATGCTGTATATGATTTAAAAGCATTATATTATCAAAAAATGTATTAATTAAATAAATGTTTATTATATAATTTTTAATTGACGACACATGTGTTATTATTTTGCAGATAAAAAGTGCATGGACCTCAGTAATTTAAACGAAGATGATCAAACATTCATTGATGGTAATTTTCATCTATAAATTATACAACTTTTGGTTATTGAACATTTTATATTTTACTAATATTTACTATGATCTTATACTACTATAACCAAAATCAAAGTTATGAATAAAATGGGTCATGGAGGAGGGTCACAAATATTTTTTAAATAAAAAAATTAATTATAATAGTTATTATATTAACTTTTCTAAAAAAAAAAAAAAAATTAATTAATTCTGGGTATGACGCCGACATAGAATTTATGAGTCTATTTTTATTTTTATTTTTTTCAGATTCAAAGTGCATTGATTTGAGTCATTTGAGTGACGATGATCCTAATTTTATTGAAGGTAAGTGTCGTAATAAATAATCTAAGTTTTATCATGAAATTATGTGTGCTGGGGCAGTATTATCCCTTTGATCATACGTATTTGAAATATTCTTTTATGATATTCAGAAATTTGTTTTTGTTGTTTTAATTGATTGTTACCCGTCTGTTTTTTATTATTCTAATCACAGACAGCGGACGAACGCGCGCAGTTATTAGCTCAAGGCCATATCAGGGCCGCTAACATTGTGACTAGTGACCCACTTTTAAGCGATTCGCCACGATGTGCTCAAGCAAGGACGGCAAGGGCCCCCTAGTCTCCCCTTCCTTTGCAAATTTTTATTAGTGTCACGGTCGGCACGACTCACCCAATTCAGTCCTATTTTTGGGTAGCCCTAAAATACGTAAATTCTGCTTTTTTTTAAATTTATACTAACCGTTGAAATGTGCGCCAAAATGAAGGATAATCCAAGTAAATTGTTGATCGTCATTTAATTTATTGTAACATTTTCATACTGAGTATACATAATTCTTTATAATTTATTAAGGATAGAGTTGTTTTGTTAGTTGAATAATATACTTATATGATAATTGTATTCATATGATAGTTTTTATAACTTGAAATCCTTTATTGAAGTATCCTTTAGCACGTGCTACGAAAGAATAATTCTAAAACTACTCGACGCAACAATAACAATTGAAATATTCGTTTTATAAATAGGTCTTTGGGTCAGACGGGGTCGTAAAAAAAGGCTTAGTATTGTGTTCGGATATTCGGCGTGTAATTCAGCTATAAATTATTTAAATGTTAAACGGAGAAAATAAAATCGAAATTTTTGAACGACATGTTCGGCCTGGATAGAAAGCGAGCTGACCAAGGACGCCGCCTCAATAAAACAGTAAATCTTTACGCCCCGTTTTTCGGACAACCATAATAACGTTGTAAGGCGGCATCCCTTTTACCGAATGGGTCTTACAAAATGTTTTGTCAACATGACCCTTGTAAATTGTTGGTTATCTTTTTGGGGATTTTATGTTGACAAGTCTGGGTCTATATAGCCTTATTAAATGACAACCATTGATAATATATTGCGATACGTTCGTCAAAAATGTTGTCATGGTGCAGGTGTAAACATATGGTGTATATAAAATAAATCAACCATTTTTAATTTATCTATACTCAATAGTATTTTGGTATTAAAACAAAAATAAAATGATAATATAAGGTTATAATCAAGTACAATAAAAGTTTACCAAAAAAATGTTAAATTTAATCAAGCAATATGTTGTGAGTGGATTAATTTTCATATTTCAACAATGCATTTTTTTTATACTTATTTTAAATTATATTACAGTCAGCTATGAAAAATCTGTGATATTTTATTTGAAAATAAATGCATTGGTATGATTTATTTTTTAAATGATGCTACATACATACAAATTGCAAAGCTTAATTCTTAAATGTTGTATAGCTTTAATTTATTTCTTAAAGTTGACCATAAAATGTTAATATTTTATTGTGAATCATAAAGTATAATTATGAAAAATTGGGCTAGACAGTATTGGACTATATTATCATTCCTTATGGTAGTTACATATTTTCTCTACATTTGAAAGCTGTTGATGAATTATATTATTCTGAAAACGATTTTGATCGAAGGTCGGTGTAATTTATGCATTGATTAACTTATGTAATTGTTTCTCAAGTATATCACGTAATAAAATAATTTTAAATTATGAGACATACGTACTTAATTAAGAGTTCGGAAATTGTGTTATAATAAACGCATAGATTTATATTAAATATAAAAATTTATTTATTTAGTCGTTTAGACATTTTAACTTAAATTATTGGTAACATCGTTTTATTTAAGGAGACAAAATGTAATTATTTTTGTTTTTTCCGTATTTTAAATTAAGAAACAATATATTAAAAAAATGCCTGTTACATTTTTTTTATATCACTCAATTAAAATATTATTCTTTGAAATTTTACTGTTGAATATTATATTTTTATGAAAGTATATTTTCTGTCTAAACCGATGAATACATCAAAAATATATTTCCTTTAAAACTAGATAGCAGGTTATGTTGTACAATATTTCCAATTTACTTTATAAAAGAAGCAATAAAATTTCCGTCTAAACTAAGTTTCTGTACTATCATTTAACAATTTTCACTGTATAATGGTTTGAAATGTATTCATTTTTCATAAAGAAAAAGTTTCAATACATACGAAATTAATTTATATTCAGTAAATATTAAAAATCTTAATTAGTTTAACCATTTTGTTGTATTTGATTGATTAAATATGATCAGTATAGTAAAATAAAATTCGTTTAGAATTGTTTTTCGAAAGTGATAATTTATTACCATTGTTTATAATTTTGATGTTTAAAATAATAATATGTGTGTTAACCAGCGATTAACGAGCATCATATATTCAGTATATGTGTTTTATGAACTACGACTCATTCAATGTTTATATATTTTAAAATTATAACATTAATATACATTATAATAATACTAAAATGTATTAAGCATAAATGACACTTAAAATAATTTTAAAATTTGTTGCTCACAAATATTGTTTTTTTTTTTTTATTGACAAAGTTAGGTTTTGATGGTATTGTTTACTTTTTTTATGGTCTAATTGTACTTTTTAAAGTAAATTATTGTTCACAGATTTTTTTTAAGTAGATGATATCAATTCTTATGAATTTTGACGTGCATAAATTTAATTTTGATGAAATGTTGTCTACTTCTTGTCCATAGAGAAGTCTATTAGAAAGGTATATTTAGGTTTCGTATACTAATTATAAGTAATTGTTATCATTCGGTATAATAGGAATCATTTGAGTGGTTCTTGATTTTTTAAAGTCTTATTTACAATTGATTCTTTTTAAAGTTCCATTAAGTAAAATAATGTTATTTTATTAAAATGAATATTTTTTTTTAATTTTACTTATTTTATTACAGATTTTACCTAAATCATTCAAGTACAGAGCGTATAAATCGTGCATTTATACCGATTACAAATAGTTTCACAGTTTTATAGTTTACTATTTTGTAACAAGAGTTTCGATTTAAAATCGTTTTTTTATTGCTCTTTTTATTTTTGGTTGTCTTAAGTGGGGGGTTTAAGCCAGTGTCATTAAACCTTGTCTACAACCGCAGAGTCATTACTATTCCCAGTGGCAAGTCGTCCATAATATTATAACGGCCGGACGAATGGTGGATACACACGGATAATAATTACCCAAAGAATCCCCGGGGTTGATTGACCCGTGTGAGAATGAAAGAAAGAAAGCGCTTCGTCTCTTAGTCGGTACTTTAACAATGAAGACTGATGATGCCGGCCGATAAAAGGGACATGGATAGGCGAAGGTAGAAAGAAAAGTACATGTTCAATTTTTTCGGTCACGGGTAATAACCTTAGCCGTTGAAGAAGATTGCTCCGGTTCAGGAATTCGACAAGTAGGGGTTCTCAAAAACTAAAAAAAACAAATCATAAAATAAAATCTACTAAATAAATAAAACATGAATAAAAAACTTTATATTTTTTCATTAGGTTTTAAATAACTTCAAAATGTAATTAATTTTTTATGCAAGTTGACATTTTGTAGTGAAAATCATGATTTAAAATATACTGAAATTATTTTTTATATACATAGTTGCTATACATGTTAAACCTTATATTTTGTTTTATATAGGTGTTTTTGTGTACATTGTATAGTAGGCTTAGGATGGCTATACTTTCACATGTATACATTTCATAGGTTGTTGCCTTCTTAACAATAAGACCTCAGGTTGAAACTTTTTACTTAAATTCCATTGGCTTATTCAAGTTGTTATACTTTTATGTTAATAAATTATTTGGGTAGCTATAGTGTTAAGATTTTTAGCTCTTTAGCTAGATTCTACTCATTTATACACACATACATACATTATATACTTTCACTTTTAGGCAAATTTGTTTTAGTTTATATCTTAATTGTTATTTTTTTCACGTTTACTTGACAATGTTCATTCCATCAAACACTTGTTACATAAAACGTCAGCTAAAAAACGTTTGCAATATTTCCGAATTGAAGGGGCATTGGTTATTTGCCACCTTGCCTCGTGAATTGCAGTGCAAATCGCTGTGCCTATATAAAACGCCGTCTATATGGAATACAAGTTTGCAAACCTGTAGTTTGTTGTAATAAGGTGGATTTCGTTAAATTGTTTTATGTAATTGTATCACATGATATTTTAATTTAAATTATTTAAATTATGAATTTATAACATACAAGTAAATAAAATTAGTAGCTTTTAGTAAATAAAACTTAAAATAATATTTTTATACTGTATGATTATATAACCAGTTTTTAAAAATATGCTGAGTAAAAAAATGTTTCAAACAAGATTTGATTACTAAAAATAATTTTTTATAAAAAGCGTTATTAAATAGTATAGATTTTTACACCTTTTTAGTTAGGTACAATAACAAAAATAATATTACTGCTTTTAATTTTTAATAAAATACTGATTCTAAATGTTTAATTGTATTTCTTCATAATCCGAGAGTATTTCTAAGTAAAACTATACATCGTATTTCAAAATTTTAAAGTAATTCAAAGCAACATTTATAAATTATTTGATGAAATAATACAAAAATCATCAATATCTATTCTCAGTACTCAAAAGTTTCTTATTTTGCAATAATATGGTTAAATTATTTTATTTTTATGCTCGTCAAGGACAAGTACTTAATACGCATACAAATTGATAGAAATCTTTGTTTTCTTTATAAGTTTTTTATTGTCATATTTCGAATAATTGTATGACTTAAATAAATAAATTAAGTTTAAATAATTATTTTTTGAAGTTTTGTTTTTGTAATGGGGATTTCAATTAATTTTCTATATTACTTATGTATCTACTTATTTAAAGTTTACATATCCGAATTTATTTATAAAAACTATTGAAATTTTGAATTTATTAAGTATCTGATAAGTTTTATAATCGTATAGTATTATA